TTTTATTTTTATTTTTTTTTTTTTGAGACAGAGTCTTGCTCTGTCATCCAGGCTGAAGTGCCATGGCGTGATCTCAGCTCACTGCAACCTATGCCTCCTGGGTTCAAGCAGTTCTCCTGCCTCAGCCTCCCAAGTAGCTGGGATTACAGGCGCCCGCCACCACACCCAGCTGATTTTTTTATTTTTAGTAGAGACCAGGTTTCACCATGTTGGCTAGGCTGGTCTTGAACTCTTTACCTCAGGTGATCCAGCCCTCTCTGCCTCCCAAAGTGCTGGGATTACAGGCGTGAGCAACCACGCCTGGCCTAAGCTGGGATTGTGAGCACGTTGTTGGAATGTAAAGCTGTGGGAATGTACATGCTGTCACTTGAGCCTGAGTGTGCAAGGGGACAATGGGCCCAGGACTGCATCATAAGAGATGAATGGAAGAAGAGCAAAGAGATGGAGAAACAGGCCCCCACAGAAGGAAAGCCAGAAGAATGTGGGTCATGGAAGTTTGGGTAGGAGATGGGAATGGAAACTGGAGAGGGGTAGGTTTATAAAGATGGTAGACTCCAAAAGTAGGGAGGATAAAAGAGTTCATGGACAAGTTATCCCTTCCAGTACACTTGCTGTGGAAGAGAGCAGAACTTGGGGGCAGGGAGAAATCTGTCGTTTCCTCCTTTAATCTTTCATCCTAAATATTTCCCAATTCATTCCGTCATTCTTCATACAGTGGTATTTCCAGAAGATTCTGTAACTTGGACGTAGCACTGTTTTCCCCAGAATAGGATGCTTCACCCAAAATGTGTTCTGGGGCAGGCCTGTTGCCTTTCTTTTTCTGCTCTACTTAAGAGATGAAGCTTAATTTAGCAGTTTAGGCAGCCGTGCCCTCTGTTGGCCTTTTCTGAAACTGCAATCAAGTCGAGCTTTGCAGTGCTGGCAGGCCAAGTTCCCTCTGTATTTGTGCAGTGAGAATTATAACCTAGAAGCAAGGGTAACCAAGGAGCTCTTGAGAAAGTATCTCTGGTAACTAGTTGAGGTGGAAGACAACTCCAGGATAAGGCGGCAAAGCAGACTTTTATGATTCCCATTTAATAGATGAGGAAGCCGAAACTCAGATCCGGCATGGATAAGTGGCTGACACTGAACTCTGGAACTCCATCCTGAGTCCTGTTGTGGACTCCCAGAGCTATACTATATTTCTTCTAAATGCTTTAGAATGTTATTTGCACACACACACAAAAAAAGTTATTTGGAGAATGCAAATATAAAGTGAGTGTTTAAATGCCATTATTCTACTATACGTTTGTTTTTGTGTGCATTTGTGGGTTTCTTTGGTTATTTTTATTATTTTCTTTTTTGAGACCGAGTTTTACTCTGGAGTGTAGTGATATGATCTCTGCTCATTGCAACCTCTGCCTTCCGAGTAGCTGGGACTCCAGGCATGTGCCACCACACCGGCTAATGTTTTTTGTATTTTTAGTAGAGACAGAGTTTTATCATGTTACCCAGGCTGGTCTTGAACTCCTGAGCTCAAGTGATCCGCCCACCTCGGCTTCCAAAAGTGCTGGGATTACAGGTGCAAGCCACAGTACACAGCCTATTCTACTATACCTTTGTTCAGGACTATCTAAGAGGCAAACCTCAGGGAGTCAGAGATATTCATCCATTCTTACATTCACCAGTTATTTACTGAGCACCTGCTCTGTGCTAAGCACTCTTCTATGTGATGGGGAATACAGGAGTGAACAAAGCAGACAAACTTCCTGCCCTCACATTCTAATATGAAGCGATAGACAATAAATAAGATAAACAAGGTAAGATGTATGCAGTTCATTAGATAGTGATGGTGGTAAGAAGGAAACAGGCCAGGTGGGGTGGCTCACGCCTGTAATCCTCCCTACTTTTGGAGCCAAGGTGGGAGGATTACTTGAGCCCAGGAGTTTAAGACCAGCCTGAGCAACACAGTGAGACACTGTTGCTACAAAAACTAAAAAGTTAGCTGGGCATGGTGGTGCGTGCCGGTAGTCCAGCTACTTGGAGGATGAGGTGGGAGGATCTCTTGAGCCCAGGAGGTCGAGGCTGCAGTGAGCTGAGATCATACCACTGGACTCCAGCCTGGGCAACAGCGAGTCCCTGTCTCAAAAAATAAAAGGCCGGGCGTGGTGGCTCATGCCTGTAATCTCAGCACTTTGTGAGGCCAAGACGGGCGGATCACTTGAGGTCAGGAGTTCAAGACCAGCCTAGCCAACATGGTGAAACCCTGTCTCTACTAAAAATACAAAAAAATTAGCCAGGAATGGTGGCCTGTGCCTATAATCCCAGCTACTTGGGAGGCTGAGGCACGAGAATTGCTTGAACTCGGGAGGCAGAGGCTACAGTGAGCCAAGATCGTGCCACTGCACTCCAGCCTGGGTGACAGAGTGAGACTCTGTCTCAAAAATTTAAAAAAAAATAAATAAATGAAATAAATATTTAGAAGGAACCAGGAAGCAGGGAAGGGGAACATGAAACATGGAGCTGGGATGTTGGCGTGGAAAGGTTAGTTACAGTGACCAGGGAAGGTGGCTCAAAGGCCTAAGAGTAGGGAAGAAGCCAGCCACACAGATGCCAAATAGAGAACATGCCAGGCAGAAGGCACAGCGGTTCAAGTGCTGAGGTGGGGATGCGTCTGGCATGTGAGAGAAACAGCGAGGAGGCCGGCACAATGGGGCAGAGAGAATACCGAGGAGAATGTTAGGGGAGAGGCAGAGATGTCACAGGGCACATCACTGCAGATGACCCTAGAGGTCATAGGAGGGACATCAGTGGTGGTCCAAGAGAGTCGGCTTTCTTTGGACAGTTTTAAGCAAAATATTGGAATAATCTGCTCCATTGTAACAGAAACATCCTAGCCACTATGGATGGAGGGGCTGAAGCGAGGAGACCAGTGAGAAGGCTAGAAATGATTTCATAGAAAAACCAAGAGAATTTTGCCGGCCATGGTGGTTCACGCCTGTAATCCCTGCACTTTGGGAGGCTGAGGCGGGCGGATCACCTCAGGTCAGAAGTTCGAGACCAGTCTGACCAACATGAAGAAACCCCATCTCTACTAACATACAAAACAATTAACTGGGCATGGTGGTGCATGCCTGTAATCCCAGCTACCGGGAGGCTGAGGCAAGAGAATCGCTTGAACCCAGGAGGCAGAGGTTGTGGTGAGTCGAGATCGCGCCATTGCACTCCAGCCTGGGCAACAAGAGTGAAACTCCGTCTCAAAAAAATAAAAATAATAAAAAAATTTTAGAGAAAGAAAAACCAATAGAATTTCATGAGGATGGAATGTGGGTTGTAAGAGACAGAGATGAGCCAAGGATGACACCATCCTTGAAACTGGAAAAATCAAGTTGCAGTTGCCCAAGATGAAGAAGGCTCCAGGAGCAAACAAAGGTTGCAGGGAGCAAAGGCTCCATTTTAGACATGTTAGCTTTGAGATTCCTGGAGATGTCCCATAGATATCTATGGACCCAGTGACAACTAGATCCATATATCCAGTCACCAACTGGATATATGGATCTGGTGTTAGGTAAGCATTGGAGCTAGAGCGCTACGAGATACAGATATGCAGGGATTCCATCATGGCACTCTATAATGGTATTCTACATTCATCATGAGATGGATGGAATGGGATATGGGATGATGGAATGGAAGACAATGGGATGCGGATAATAATATGTTAATGGAAAAGAAAAACGGCTCAAAGCGAAGCGCCACTGTGGCCCTCAGTATAGAGGTTTGAAGTGATAAAGAATCTGGGCCAGAAGTGGTGGAAAATAAACTAATGAATTGTGGTGCAATGAAAGCCAAACAAGAAATGAAGAAAATAGTTTAAGTCTGGGCACAAGGGCACATACTTATAATCCCGAACACTTTGGGATACTGATAGCCCAAGGTGGCAGCATCACTTGAGCTCAGAAATGATGGAGAGACGCAGCCTGAGCACATGGCAAAAACTGCTCCATCTCTACAAATACAAAAAATTAGCCAGGGCTGGGCATCGGTGGCTCACCGCCTATAATCCCAGCACATCTGGAGGGCCAAGGTGGCGATCACCTGAGGTCAGGAGTTGAAGACCCAGCCACTGTGCCACATGGTGAAATCTCGTCTCTACTAACCAAAACTATACCAAAATCTAGCCCGGCTCAAACCGGGCCACGGTGGCTCATAACCTGTATCCCACCACTTTGGAGGCCAAGGCAGGTGCATCACACAAGGATCAAGAGATGGAGACATCTGCCCAACATGGTGAAACCCCGCCCGCTCTACACTACAAATATACAGAACATAGGCCA